CCGGTTCTGTTCTTCCCGGTTCGCGGGTGATAGTGTCCCGGGTGGTCAGCCGTGTTCTTGCGCCTAAGCTGCCTGTGTTCTTCCCTCATGCCTGTGGCGTTCGTGGCTTCGCTGCTCTCGCTGCCGTCTGGGCAACATGGCCTTGCTGTCTTTTGGGCATGGATTTTTGGTGTTTGTGCAGGGGCCTTGCTGCTCGTTGTTCTCGTGTTGTTCCCGGGACTTTTTCGGGGCTGTGGCGCCTTGGGTTGGCGTTTGCTGCCAGTTGTCTCGCCTCCTTGGGGGGCGAGTGGTGTCCGCCTCCCGGTTCTGTCCCTTTGACCTTCCTCTGTGGGTAGTTAGCTCCGGGGAGCCGATGGGGCTCCCCCCAGAAAACCAGCGTTGAATGTAATGAAACGCCATTTTCTGGGTGAGACCCGGAGGCTCCCCGGCAACCCTCCCTCCCTCTGGTCGGCGTTTTTTTCGCGTGTTTTGACATCCAGCCTTAGAACTGATGGGTGGATAGCCGACGTGGGAGGTCTGGGGCTCCCCCTTCCCACTCCCGGGGAGGGGGGAGCTGCGCAGACAGGGGCGCGGTGACGTATGGTGTCATACTAGTTTCCTTGTTTTCTGTTGAAGAGTTCTATCCACTAGTTCGGCTTTAGGTAGCAATTTTCACCAGAATAGGGGTTTGTTTTGAAATGCTTACCTTTCTGGATGCTTGACCCGGTCGATGGCAGACATAGAATGCTTCCAACCACACGGGGGTTTCTATAGGCCATTGCTCCCCTTGCCTCTCTGAGGGGGCCAGGTTCTGGCCGTGGTCCCCGGTAGGCCCTAGAACTCCATACACATGACTGATGCCAAAGTCTGACATTAGCATATCAGCCGGTAAAGCTCCGGGGAGCCTCCGGGTCTCACCCAGAAAATGGCGTTTCATTACTTTCAACGCTGGTTTTTTGCTGTTATTACACTATATACACACACACATTGTATATACCTATCTACATATGTGTTCACCATAACAAACCACTAAGTTGGTTTGGTGAGCCCAAAACAACAACAGTGGCCACTATATATATATATATTAGTATATTTTGGTAGCAGTCTTTCCTGTAGACATATATTATTAAATATGACCGAAAAAGTAAGAATAATAATTCTAACACGAATTTTCTCAATCTTTCGTACATTTCTTTTCACTGTTGGAGGTAAATCAAAAATCAATTCTCCAAAATTCATTTTTATTTCTAGTCTGACGCGACACGAGCGCGTTTCGTAAAACTTATTACATTTTCAAAGACTTTAGTTTACAAATACACAACTGAATAGAACTTACGCATCTCCGATTTTATATCTACATTTGAGAGAGGTGGATGAGGTGAGGTGGCATTAATAGGGTATTAATTTCATCAACACAAGACAGAACAAGAGGTGGCATTAATAGGGTATTAATTTCATCAACACAAGACAGAACACGAAACAATGTGAATGTTTGTGAATGAAAATGTGACTCATACGTCAGGCTGCGAGCAGCCGCGTCTAACAGCCTGGTTGATCAGTCCAGCAACCAGGAGGCCTGGTCGACGACCGGGCCGCGGGGACACTAAGCCCCGGAAGCACCTCAAGGTAGCCTCAAGGTAGGTATGGGTATTGAATAGAAGTGATTGTAGAAAGCCTATTGGTCCATATGCTTCTATATTGGATGCTTCTATATTGGAGCGGAGTCTTGAGGTGGGTAGAATATAGTTGTGCATTAATTGGCTGTTGATTGCTGGTGTTGACTTCTTGATGTGTAGTGCCTCGCAAACGTCAAGCCCCCTGCTATCGCTGTATCTATCGATGATTTCTGTGTTGTTTACTAGGATTTCTCTGGCGATGGTTTGGTTATGGGAAGAGATTATATGTTCCTTAATGGAGCCCTGTTGCTTATGCATCGTTAAACGCCTAGAAAGAGATGTTGTTGTCTTGCCTATATACTGGGTTTTTTGGAGCTTACAGTCCCCAAGAGGGCATTTGAAGGCATAGACGACATTAGTCTCTTTTAAAGCGTTCTGTTTTGTGTCTAGAGAGTTTCTCATGAGTAGGCTGGCCGTTTTTCTGGTTTTATAGTAAATCGTCAGTTGTATTCTCTGATTTTTGTCTGTTCCCTACAGACAAAAATTGTCTGTAGGGAACTGTTCTTCTACAAGAACACCGGCACCACTGTTCTTCAACAAGAACACCGGCACCACTGTTCTTCAACAAGAACACCGGCACCACTGTTCTTCAACAAGAACACCGGCGGCACTGCTCTTCACCAACAAGAACACCGGCGGCACTGTTCTTCAACAAGAACACCGGCGGCACTGTTCTTCACCAACAAGAACACCGGCGCCACTGTTCTTCACCAACAAGAACACCGGCGGCACTGTTCTTCAACAAGAACACCGGCAGCACTGTTCTTCAACAAGAACACCGGCGGCACTGTTCTTCAACAATTGTCTGTTCTTCTACAGATTGTCTCGTCCACAGGTACGTTGGTAAACAGCGATTCTACGTCCAACGAGGCTCTTATCCCTGTGGCCCGTGTGCCCCGCAGTAAGTCATCAAATTCCTTTGGAGACTTCAGGCTGAAGGCGCAAGGAACATAAGGAGTCAGCAGGCCGTTGAGTCGCTTCGCCAGTCTGTACGTGGGTATCTGGCTAATGATTGGCCGAAGTGGGTTTCCAGGCTTGTGCGTCTTGACATTTCCATACGCATATCCAGGTTTATATTCCCCAATGATCTTTGGCAGGTGGAGTCCGGATTTCTTGGCGTTCACAGTTTCGATCAGTTTGTTGACCTTTGCTTTTAATTCAGCTGTAGTGTCCTTCGTTACCCTTTGGAACTTAGTTTGGTCAGAGAGTATGATGTTCATTTTGATCTTCATAAGAGCCTCGTTGGACGTAGAATCGCTGTTTACCAACGTACCTGTGGACGAGACAATCGGAATGATAGCCGACAGAGTGTATCGTGATCCAGCCTGTACTCCTCTTGACATGCCAGAAAGTATTCTGAGGAAACTACTCCAAGCTTGTACTAAAGAGGCACCCTTCTTGAGCCCGGATGGGCACATGTATAAGCAAGTAGATGGGGTCGCCATGGGTTCTCCCCTAGGTGTCCTGTTTGCAAACTTCTACATGGGTACCATCGAGCAAAAAGTCTTAGTCGACATGAACTTGAAACCGGCCATATACTGCAGGTATGTTGACGACATTTTTACACAGGTACCTGATGTCAGACATCTGCAGGAGCTGAAGGAGGCATTTGAGCAGAGTTCCGTGCTGCGTTTCACTTACGAGACGGAAAAGGATGGGAAGCTGCCTTTTCTAGATGTAACAGTCATGGAAAAGGGCGGAGGTTTCCACACTGCAGTCTACACTAAGGAAACAAATATAGGAATGTGCCTAAATGCCAACAGCGACTGCCCTGACAGGTACAAGAGGAGTGTTGTTAACGCATACGTCGACCGTGCTCTCAGCCACAGCTCAGAATGGAAGCAAGTCGACGAAGAACTCTGTAGGGTAAGGCAGGTCCTAGTCAATAACGGCTTCTCCAATGGTTTCATCGAAGACATCATAAGAAGGAAAGTGAAAAGCCATGCAACCTCTGAAGAGACAACTAACACAACACCTATACCCCCTATTAGACTATTTTACAGGAACTTCTTTTCCACAGCTCATAAAACGGAGGAAAGGGTCCTAAAAGATATTGTTAATAGAAACGTTATCCCTACAGACAAAAATCAGAGGATACAACTGACGATTTACTATAAAACCAGAAAAACGGCCAGCCTACTCATGAGAAACTCTCCAGACACAAAACAGAACGCTTTAAAAGAGACTAACGTCGTCTATGCCTTCAAATGCCCACTTGGGGACTGTAAGCTCCAAAAAACCCAGTATATAGGCAAGACAACAACATCTCTTTCTAGGCGTTTAACGATGCATAAGCAACAGGGCTCCATTAAGGAACATATAATCTCTTCCCATAACCAAACCATCGCCAGAGAAATCCTAGTAAACAACACAGAAATCATCGATAGATACAGCGATAGCAGGCGGCTTGACGTTTGCGAGGCACTACACATCAAGAAGTCAACACCAGCAATCAACAGCCAATTATTGCACAACTATATTCTACCCACCTCAAGACTCCGCTCCAATATAGAAGCATCAAGAAATATGGACCAATAGGCTTTCTACAAACACTTCTATTCAATACCCATTGTTTCTGTTCTGTCTTGTGTTGATACTTTTAATACCCTATTAATATCCCCTCTTGTTCTGTCTTGTGTTAATGCCACATCACCCCTCCCACCTCACTCAAATGTAGATATAAAATCAGAGATACGTAAGTTCTAATCAGTTGTGTATTTGTGAAGTCTTTGAAAATGTAATAAGTTTTACGAAACGCGCCCGTGTCGCGTCAGACTAGAAATAAAAATGAATTTTGGAGAAGTGATTTTTGATTTACCTCCAACAGTGAAGCGTAATGTACGAAAGATTGAGAAAATTCGTGTTAGAATTATTAATCTTACTTTTTCGGTCATATTTAATAATATATATATATATATATATATATATATATATATAATTTATTTATTTATTTATTTATTTATTTACTGTATTTAGACATTTTTAGGAGATGCTGTGGTCACAAGCCTAACAGCAATGCTGTTAGCTCATGCTGCATGTGCCAGCCTTGGTTGCTCACTCAGTACCTTCACACCTGGGAAAGTTGCCCACATTTAAAAAAAAAATTGCGACTGTTTAGGAGAGCCCTGAGGAAGCTGATGTGTACCCCGTGTAGCCGCTGGTGTTTTGAATGATACGCTATACCTATAAAATCCATGAGGCGCGTTGCACACCACCCATCGAGAGCCTCAAGGCACATTGCGCAGTGCAGTGGTTAAATATTAGAGTATATGACAACTTATTGAATAACTTTTTATTTTTAAGGGATTTTATGAAAGTTAATGAAAGTTGTTTTGAACAATGCAGGCAGTAATTGTTGTGCAGAAAAGAGGTCAAGAAGAGTGCAAGGGGATGGACACAGACCCATTTGGTAAGACATGTGAATTCTCCAGAGCATCAGTAGGTCCATGGTGGAGAGAGGCTTTCATGCTGGTGGTGTCTTGGCTCTGTGTTCTCCTCACAGCTGTAGAGTTTGTCATTAAAAGGGTAAGTCATATATGTTAGTCTTTTTATAGTACAGTACATTATTCTTATTTAAGGATGTGTTAATTTATAAAAAAGATGTGCAGGTAAATGAGAAGAATGGAAGCAACGATGAAGATGATATCCCTTTATAGTTTGTAATATACTTGCTCTTCATGGAGTTACTTCGGTGGTATAATGCATTGTTATGGGGTTGATGCGAGTTATGTGTGGCTCATATTCACTTAGACGTTAAAATTGTTGTCTTAAGACTGTACTGGCAGCACATTTTTGTGGCTCATTCATTATGCATTCAACTCATGAGTTATGCCAATTTATCTTACACTGATTGTGTGGTGATAATGTTCAACTTGTCTTGTGTTACAATTCTGTACGGTACAATTTCACTGGAACAAACCTTGCTTTATTAAATCCATGCATTGACCAAACATGTTAACAGGCCACCTAATCTAAGCATCAGCTACATAATATAATTTACAGTGCATAAAATCTTTCAAAGAAACTCAGTAAATCATAAATTTACAGATTATATTATCAAATAATAATAGTAATGTTTTTAAAATATGCAGGATTCATAAAATAACCAAAAGTGTAACCTTTCATTGCCCCTGTGTGTTTGCCATGTGTCAGTGCCCAAAGGAGTTTACTGCTAGATACAGTACATTGATGAAATATGTAAATTCTTTAAACAAATTCAAATACAAAAAGTTAGTATACAAATGTTATTCTATAGTAGTAATTAAAAAAAGCCATTCATAAGTCTGTAACTCGCATTCATAAGTTTGTAACTCGAACCAGATTTCCTATAAGTGGAAAGCAGTAAATGGGGGGAAATGCATTCCAGGACCAACAAACATCAATACTGTACATAAAACCTAAATTTCTGGGGGGAGCCTCTATCGGCTCCCTGCAGCTGTCGGACAGATATCTGCCATATTAGTCTAGAGCATCAGTTACTGGAGTCTTTATGTCTACCGGGATCCATGAGCCACAACCTAGTTTCCTCAGAGAGGCAAAGGGAGCAATGGCTTATGAACATTCCACTTTGTGAGAGTATAGTCATGTCTGCCATCGACCGGGGATATATCCTGTATTCTGTCCATTTTCTGACCGTTTTAGCTGTGGAGCTTCTGTATCAGGGTTATATAAGAAAAAACTTGTAAAATTATTCATTATGAACAACTAATGAACCTTTGTTCTCGTGATGCGTCTCTTCCGCTGTCAAATGTGGTAGGTAGGGCTTTCAGTTGGTTTGTTTCTGGGTGCCCTAGGGTTCCTCAGATTCGTCTTTTCAGAGGTTTTCTTCCTCTCGGATTCCTCTTGGGGGGTTTGGGAGGCCTTTGCCGCGTGCCTCCAGTGAGACCCAGTTTTGCCTCTATGTTGGTTCCGGTTTTGTTTATGTTCGGTTCCTCTTCCTCTGATATGGGGCTGTTCGAGGTTCCAATGCCTTTCTAACTGGCAGCCTCCTTTGTTGGCAAGTTGGTGTGGGCTCCAGGCCAGGCTGCACGTCTGCTAGCCAGGGATCTGGTTCTTTCCTAGCTTGCCGGGTTCGGGTTCCTGGTGAATTGGCGGAAGCCCCAGTTGGTTTCTTCTCAGGTCAGACTTGGCAGGGCCTTGTGTGGGATTCATGGGCTGTGTCCGTCTCTCTTACATCGGTGGTGTTGGTTCGGTTGTATTCCCTCCTAGAGCTGTTTTGGGGGGACCTGGGTCACTGGGCAGTTGCTTGAGCAGTTGTGCAGGAGCCTGGACGTCGGCATCCAGGTTTATTCACTGGGCAGAGTTTGGCTTCGAAGGCTGTTCTGGTATCTTTGGGACAGCCCTTTTCACCTCTTTTGCGACTTCTGGGTTCGCACCCCAGTGTCTGATCTCCATCAGTTGCCAAGTCACTGGCTTCCTCTTCAGGTTTTCAGGGTTCGGTGCCTTGGCGCCTTTCCCTTCCCATGCTCGGTGGTTCACTGACACCTCGTCTCTCAGCTGGGGCTTTGTGACCAGCGCTCACCAGCCTGGCCAGGGTCATTGGGCTCTGTCCTTCTGTCATGCTCACTGCATGGAGCAGGAGTTTGCGGCTGTGTGTAGCTCTTCTGCCAAGTTCTCTGGGGTTTGCACTGCACCAAACCTATTTCGGGATTGTCCAACGTCCTAACAGATGGCACGTCTCGCTTCATTCCCCTTCCCACAGAGTGGTTGGTCAACGCCGCCACCTTCCTTTGGCTTTATCAGACGTATGGGCGCCCAGAGGCGGACCTCTTTGTGTCGGCGTGGTCTCAGTGTCTCCCTACATACGCGGCGCCGTTCCCCGACTGCCCAGTAGATGCTTTCCTGCAGGAATGGTTGAGATGGGGGTTCCTGTACCTTTATCCCCAGTTCAGCTGATGCTTCAGGTTCCGGCTCAGCTCAAATCCTAACATGAGAGGGGGTGCTTCTCCTGGCCCCATGGTACTATATCCGGCCCAGCCTTGGTTTTAGGCGCTGCTTGCTCGGTGTCCGAACCTGGGCGTCTTTTCATGACTCCACCTCTTTCAGCAGGTCGGGCCATTGAGGTACCTTGCTGGTTTGACTTACTCTTCCACTCATCACGTCTAGTTTTTCTGATGCACGTGTTTTGACACTTGTATGGTGATCAGGTGGCTTCTCTGATGGTGTCCCACCTGCTGTCTTCGTCTTGGCAACAGTATGAAGTCTCCTGGCAGTCTTTCCGCCATTTCCTTTCCCTTTGGAGGGTGTTGTCTGTGACTGTGATGGGGGTTTTGTCCTTTCCTTCTTGGCTCTTTTTGGACTGCCATCTCGTGCCAAATACTGTTGCTTTTTATTGTGCGCTGTTGTTGGCGCTGCTCCAGCTTGCGTTTGGGTGGATGTCACTTCTGCCCCATTCCACAAGCTCTCCCATGCATTTTTTTTTACCTCCGGCCTGCTTTTACGCTGCTTGATCCATCTTGGTTTCTGGACCGGGGGTTCTCTCTTCTTTCCTCCTCCTAGGTTTGTTGTGGGCCCCTTCTGTTCAGGACTGTTTTCTGAATGCCTTGTTTTTGTTGGCTTTCATCTCTGGGGGTAGGGTTGGGGAGCTTCATGCCCTTCTCTGGCACATGGGGTTTCTGCTACTTTGGTCCTGCGTGTCGTTTTGTTCGTTTGCAGCGTTTTTTTTTTTTCTGACGAAGAATGAAACGGCTGGCTTTTGGAAGAGTCCGTGGGTTGTTGATGCTTGGTTGGTTCGGCCGTGGGTGCATCTTGTTTTGTGTCCGGTGGCGGCTTTACTTCGCTACCTGCAGACCTCTGCTTCAGTACCAGGGGATGCGCTCTGGGTTCTTCCAGTTCCTTTAGTTCCATGTTCCAGGGCATGTGTCTCTCAGGTTATCCGCAGAGTTATCAAGTCTATGCAGCCTGCAGTCTACCCTCGTGCCCATGATGTGCGTAAGTAAACTGTTCTGGCTGCTGTTTTTAGTAATATGTCTTGGGTCAACATTTTGACGCGGAGGTTTTGGAGGTCAAACAGGGTCATGAACGCCAGGTATCTTGTGAACATTCTGGTCCCTCTCCGGCCTTGTGTTACTTTGGGACATCTGTCGCGGCCAGTTGCCTTATCTTCGTCTTGAGACCTGCTGTGCTGCCACCTCCTGGGTAAGTCCCTATTTTTACTTATCTGTGGGTAGTTAGCTTCTGGGAGTAGACAGGGCTCCCCACAGAAAACCAGCGTTGAATGTAATGTAACGCCATTTTCTGAGTGAGCACCGGAGGCTCCTCCTTTCCCCTTTTGGGGAAGGGGGTGGCACTATTGAGCGAGTGCGCTAGTTGGATGACAACTTGCTTGCTTGTTTGTTTTCTTTTGGGGATAGTTCTATGACTCTGTTTGGATGTAGGTTGCAATTTTCACCAGTAGAGGGTTTCGCCTACCTTTCTGGGTGCTTTCCCTGGTCGATGGCAGATATGACATACTCTAAATGAAGAGTGCTCATAGCCCATTGCTCCCTGTCCCTCTCTGAGGGGGCCAGGGTCTGGCTCGTGGTCCCCGGTAGGCACTAGAACTCCCAGGACTGGTAACACCAAACTAATATGGCACATGTCAGTTTGGATAGCTTCAAGGAGTCTCCAGGGCTTGCCCAGGAAATGATATTTCATTACATTCAACGCTGGTTTTTTGGTAGTTTGCAGGGTGCGGACTTGTTTCTAACCTAACAGTAGTCTGTATTGCTTCGCTGACTTTCTGGGTGCTTTCTCTTCCTTGTTGGTGGCAGACATGAATAATTTAACATAACAGGTTTTCATAGTGTCACTGCTCCCTGCACCTTTCTGAAGGAGCTAGGTACTGGCTTGTGGTCCCCAGTAGGCCAGTATGATCTCTGCAACTGATGGCACCTAGTAGTTTGACACTGTATCAGTGTAGTAGCTTCAGATAGCCACAAGGGGCTTCCCCAAGAAAAGTACTTTACATTTCATCTTATGAGTACTGCTGTGGATTATTTATCAGAATGTGATGGTTTTAGCTCTATATAATGCTATTTCATGTGGAAGAGATTGTGAATTGCTGGTGACATTTTGTGTATGTTGACCCCTCTTTTCTTATAATGCTTTCCTGTGTTCTTCAAGCAACTTCCTCCCCACCCCATGAAGGTGGGTAAATGGGGCATTGATGATGATGATGATGACTATCTTTATTACAGTTACATGATGGAATGTGGATCTGGGAAGATATTTTTGGCAATCTTGAAATAGAGAACACAAGTGGTCTTCTGTTGGGAATTTACAGTATGTGGAATGTGTTCACATTTGTGGTTTTAATAGTGTACCCTCCAGTACTGCCGCCCGTCACACCACAAGGTCAGTACTTGTGCTATCTTTCCTTGTGCATCTTTCCTTGTGCATCATAGAGTGAGTGCTCAAACCTTCAAAATGTTCACCATGCATACTTAAATTTTGCATGAAACTAATTATGTATTTCCTTATACTGTATAGGTAACCCTTGCTTTGTATGGTGTTGGAAAACACGGATTTGGTATTAAATAGTTATTCACTTACATATAACAGTTTAAAAAAAAGGGATGATTTTTTTTACTTTGCATGGGTTGAGCTCAGATTATCAAATTATCCACGTATATACAGCACCGTTGATACTACATGAGGCTTCTGCACATGTTACATATCTTATATTTTACAATTCCTTTAACCATTTTCATACTATATTGCAGAGTTGTGTGTGTGTGTACTACTGCATGTAATTACATAATTAATTTCTAGTACATTGTTATTTTTATTTGGTAAATTTAAGTATTGGAGGTCTTTCTCTTTCCTGGTAACTATTAGATCCAGTATTGATGGAACATCCCCTTCCTACATTCTCGTTAGCTGTTTAATGTGCTGTTACATGAAAGTTTCCAGGAAGAGGTTTATGAATCTACTGGTCCTAAAGTTTTCTGTCCTTGCAATCTATTATTGTTAAACAAGGTCCTCGAGGTATATCAATTGTGCTTTATTTGTATGTTCTCTTGTTATTATTTCACTCATAATCATTGTTTGCTGTTGGAGTCTAGGCACTAATGAGTACTATTTTATCTTTCTGGTTACAAATCACCAGTATAACAATGTCCACATCCTGTGGGTTGTCGAGGGTTAATTCTTATACACTTAGATTCTTTCTCACTAGTGCAGCAACACCTCACCGTTACTGCTTTTCCTATCATGTCCCAAAATTTAGTGACCACTTGGAAATACCATCTCACTTAACAAACTTGGATTGTCTCAGGAAATCTTCCTTATCAATTTTATCAATTCCTGTTTCTATTTTGAACGTAGTGATCATATCACCTCTTTTTCTTCTATCTTCTAGTTTTTGCATATTTAATGCCTCTAACCTCTCCTCGTAGCTCTTGTCCTTCAGTTCTGGGAGCCACTTAGTAGCATGTCGTTGCACCTTTTCCAGTTTGTTGATGTGCTTCTTAAGATATGGGCACCATACAACCGCTGCATATTCCAGCTTTCTTCTAACAAAAGTTGTGAACAATTTCTTTAGTATTTCTCCATCCATGTATTTAAAAGCAATTCTGAAGTTAGAAAGTGTAGCATAGGCTCCTCGTACAATGTTTTTAATGTGGTCCTTAGGTGACAGTTTTCTATCTAGAACCACCCCTAGATCCCTTTCTTTGTCAGAATTCTTTAAAGATTTCTCACATAATTTATAGGTTGTGTGGGGTCTATGTTCTCCAATTCCACATTCCATAACATGGCATTTATTCACATTAAATTCCATTTGCCAAGTGTTGCTCCATATACTTATTTTGTGCAGGTCTTCTTGAAGGGCATGACAATCATCTAGGTTTCTTATCTTCCCTATTATCTTAGCATCATCAGCAAGCATGATCATATAATTCTGTATTCCCACTGGTAGATCGTTTATGTAGACAATGAACATTACCGGTGCAAGAACTGAACCCTGTGGTACTCCACTCGTGACATTCCTCCAATCCGATACCTTGCCTCTGATTACAGCCGTCATTTTTCTGTCAGGAAATTTTTCATCCATGTTAGAAGCTTACCTGTCACCCCCTCCAATATGTTCCAGTTTCCAGAACAACCTCTTATGAGAAACTCTGTTGAAAGCCTTTTTAAGGTTCAGATAGATGCAGTCAACCCAACCATATCTTTCCTGTAAAATCTCTGTGGCTCGATCATAAAAACTGAGTAAGTTCGTTACACAGGATCTTCCAGATTGAAAACCATACTGTCTGATATTATATCGTTTTTCTCCAGGTGTTCTACCCATTTAGTTTTAATTATTTTCTGGGGGGAAATCCTACGGCTCCCCGGAGCTATCCATGGCTGATATGGATACCCTAAGTATTTTGCATCAGTCGATGTGGGTGGAGTTCTAGGCCTACCGGGGACCACGAGCCAGAACCTGGCCCCCTCAGAGAGGCACAGGGAGCAATGGCCCATAGAAATGCACATGTGATTTGGAGCATTCTATATCTGCCATCGACCGGGACAGGCACCCAGAAAGGTAAGCGCCACAAAACAAACCCCTATTCTGGTTAACAACAAAAATCGACAAACGAGTGGACAGAACTTCCCAGGAAAACGAACTAACAAGCATGGCGTCACACGAGCCGCGCCGCATGTCTGCGCAGCTCCCCCCTCCCTGGGAGGGGGAAGGGGGAGCCCTAGACCCCTGCACCGGCGATCCCCGCCCCAGTTCCTCGGCTGATGGGATAATGCACGGTCGTGTGGCTCCATCTCCGGTCTTGTCTCAGTGCTGTGACTTGTTTGCAGTGCTGCTCTTACGGTGGTCGTGTGAGCTGGGAGTAGTATACTCAGGTACTCGGGTTGCATGTGCTTAGGGTCACCTTCCCTGAGTGCCCTGTAAGTACCGCCCTTGGGGCTTGGGGTTGCCTTCCACAAGTCACCTTGGGTCTACCTCTGTTGGCTTTTCACTGCTTGGCGTTTGGCCGCCCCAAGTGTTTGGGGGTTTTACTCCCTTGTTTACCTTGGGGTAAGTGGTAGTTATCGCACTGGTGGGGCGCAGGGTACTGCGTAGCTAGTTTTCACCTATGACAGCGGTCGGCTCTGTTCCCTCTGGGTACGTTGTCCACTGATGTGGTTTTTCTTTTATATTTGTTTTTGCCTGGTAGGGGGGTCTGCCTTGTGTTCCCCCCCCACCCTTATATTAGGTTCGTTTGTGTGGTGGCACCCACTGCTTCGCCCTCATGGGTGGACACGTCCCATGGGTTCAGCTTTAGCAGTTTGCTTGGTAGTTTGGGGTGCCGGTTAGCAGTGCCCTGCCTGGGATAACCCTTAGCAGACCCAGTCTAGGGGCCCTGGGAAACCCCCCCGGGGGCTCTTGGGTCCGATAGTGGAGACCCTTGCGTCCCCTCTCGCTTTGTGCGAGTTGAGGGTTGCTCTGTCCCTTTGTCTCAGGGTGACTCTCCTTGTTTTTGCCTCCGTCATGCTGCCTGTTGGGTCGGTGACACATTCGACCCTGAGTCCTGCGAGCTTTGTTGCTTGTTCGTGACTCCATTCACCCAGTCTGCTGATGAATTCCTGTGGGTGCAGGCAGCTCGCGCATTGCAGGGTAGGATGTTGCAACGCGCTCAGGTTGGTCGCTTCCCTGGACGCCCCGATGCTGCCCCGCTTGTGTAGGGACCCAGACTTGGGGGGTTTTGGTCGCTTCGGCCTTGGTTCTTCCACGCCCCCCTTGTTTTTCCCCCTCCTGCTTCCGGCCCTTACACATCTGCAGACTTCAGGGTCGGGGCGGGGTTAGAGGTTCTGAGACTTGGGCAGTTTCGGGGGTTGCCCCGTACAGGGTAGCTGCGGAGGCATTCGAGTCTGTTCCTCCGGCCGATACTCCAGGGTCTGACCAGTGGGCCCCTTCTCTTCCAGCTCTCTCGGCTGCCCCGGCTTTTTCTTGTGGGGCCGGGGCTTTGGAGGTCAACTCGGCCCCGGGGCCTGGTGTAGAGGCTCCTGGGGTTGGGGAGGAGCGGCCTTGGGGGGCCTTGGGCTCCATTGCGCCCCGCCTGGATTTCCGTCCTTCTGAGCGGGGCTTACTTTCGCAAGGAGTGGGGTTTTCTTTCCCCCCCTCTGCGTACGATTTGGGCTTGGGTTCGGTTCCGTGTCCCTGTGGTTTCTTCGGTTCCGTCTTCCGGAGGTTTTCGGCTAACCGCATCTCTTCGCCTGCGGTGCGGTTGGCCTTTGCGGCTTACCTCCTGCGTGTCCCGGAGTTTGCCTCCATACTGGTTCATTCTGTTCTGGACAGGTTGGGCTCCTTGTAGCAGTTTGGGCTGCTTGTCGCCAGTTGGGCTGCTTGTCGCCGGTTGGGCTACTTCTCGCCTTGTTGGGCTCCTTGTAGCCGGTTGGGCTGCTTCCCGCCTTGTTGGGCTACTTCTCGCCTGGTTGGGCTACTTCTCGCCTGGTTGGGCTACTTCTCGCCTGGTTGAGCTACTTCTCGCCTGGTTGGGCTACTTCTCGCCTTGTTGGGCTACTTTTCTTTCGCATCCTGCGCATGCACCGTGGGAGTTTGTTTTGGTTCCGGGCAGTGTGCACACGTGTTCTGCATCCATTTTCTCTCGGGGGGGGGGGGGGGCTTCGCCTCTCGCTCTTTTCTTAATCCAATCCGTGCCCCGTTGCTTTGGGGGTGTTCTGGGATGCCGCTGTGGGGAAGTCACGAGGTTTTTCCCTGCGTTCTAGGGTGGGGAGCCTCCTTCGCCGCTCCCCTCCTCTCCAGCATGGGCGCCCTGGCCGCCTCTGGCAGCTACAGACTCGAAAGCTTGCGTCATGGCCCTTCAGCGCCTATGTTCAGCAGGTGAGTTGGTGCGGTTTGGCGTCTCCTTCATCCTGACGCTGTTTTTGTTTTTGGAAGTAGGAATGGGTGTACATACGTACTTGAGAACGTGGACCGTATCACCCGAGGTGCCTACTGCAGGGCTATTAGCCCATACTAGGCAGTTCATGTTCTCTCCACCTGATTCCTTCCTTGGTTCACGAGTGTCTGCGGGTGGCCTCTTGGCCCTTCCGAGGCGGCTCCTGCCTGTACTCCTCCTGCCCCTCTCCTATGCTTGTCTAACCTTGCTTGAGTTCGGGGCCCCGCCTCCACCTTGTTCCGCAGTGCAACGGTGGGGGTGCCTGTTCGGTGGTACGTTTTCCTGTGTCGAGGGTGTTTTGTGCTCGCCTCCTTGTGCTTGCAGGATTGGGTTCTGGCTCTTTGGTTCCGCCTCTTCCCTGTCGTTTGCCTGTCGAGCGGATTCTGTGCTTCATGGGCGCTCTCGTCTCTGCTCTTGGGGCTGTGTCTGGGGTCAGCCCCAGTTGGGCTGCCTCATGTGTTCCTTCGATTGCCTGTTACACTGCACACATTTCTTCTACCGTCCCTGTGGCTCATTTGGGTGCTCGGTTTCCGCCTGTGTCCCCTTGTGTGCCACTCGTGTACGATTTATCTATCTTCTCTGTCGCTTCCTCGGGGAGTGTGGTGACGTTTTGCTGCGGTTTTGGTACTGCAGCTGCGTGTCAGGGTTGGTTGTGGCATTATGTTCGGCCCTTCCGTGCTCCCTCTGGGGCCCTCCTTCCTTGCTGGTCTTGCTGTGCTGGGCCTGGTTTTTCCATGTTCCTTAGATTCTCTGTCTTGTCCTCGCCTCATTGTGCTGGCTGGGGATGAGCTTGGGGTCTTCGTCTCGCCCCTCGCCTATCCTCCGGTTTCGGTTCAAGTTCCAGAGCCTAGTGGGCTCCCTTCCTTAGTGTTTTTCACAGCTGCCCCGGGGGTTTTCTTGACGCTGGGGCTTTGAGGGGACAGCTCGGCCCCGGGGCCTGCAGGGTGGGTTCCCGGGGCTGGGGTGGGGCTAACGTGAGGGGCCTTAGGCCCCGTTGGTCCCCGCCGGGGTATTTCTACCCCTCTGGGCGGGGCTTGCAGTTTTGTGGTGTGGGGTTTTTCCGTTCCCCCTCTCCGCACGTGCTTTGTGGACATCGGCCCCTCCCTGGGCTCGGTTTCCTTGTCTATTGTGCCCGTTGTTTCCGTCCTGTCGGTGGGTGCTTTTCTACGGTCTTCGCCCTTATTTTCCGGGACGGGCCTTCTCCGTCATGTCCCCCTCTTCTTGGGGTTTCTGCATGACTTTTGGTCTCGGGTGCGACAGGGTTTTTGTGCCTTCGTCCTTAGTGTTTACTTCTTTTTGTTCTTGAAGGTTCGGGACGGTTTTGCTCCTTCCCGTTTTCTGGTACGTTTGTCATCATTCGGTTGAGCTTCCCTCCGGTCCTTTCTAGGGGTTGTGGGTCCTATTCCCGGCAGCTTCTGGGTGTTTGGCCTTCTTGTTCTTTTGTGCATATCTCTTCTCTTCACGCTGTCTCGGCGCTACTCGTTTTCCTGGGGGCGATTTTGCTCCTCTTAATGAGTCTTTTCGCTCCTGCCCTTCTGCGGGATGTTGGTGCGGGGCGGCTCCTTATGCAGGTTCCTTCCCTGTCGGCTGCACTTGTGGCGGTGGACTTGCACGCTTGTGGCATTTTGGGTTTGGTCCTGCGTTTTCTTTTCCCTCCTGGGGCTGTCATAGGATTGGCTTGCGGAGGATGTAGAGGCGCTTGGGGCCATTCCTGGGTCTGGCACCTTGGTTTCTACTGTTAGCTTTCGGTATCGATGTTCCTTCTGCGCCGTTTCGCAGGCTGTCTCGTGCGTTGTTTCACCACCGGCCTTCTCATGCACTGCCTGTGCCGTCCTGATCTTTGGACAGGGTGCTCTCCTGTTTTTCTTCTTCTTGGTGGTTGTGGCTCCTTGGGGTCAGGTTTGCTTTGCCTCCTTCCCGTTTTCTGGTACGTCTGTCATCATTCGGTTGACCTAACCTCCGGTCCTCCGGCCTCGGCTCTCTTTTTATGTTGGCATTGGCCTCTGGGGGTCGTGTGGCAGAGCTTCTTGCTCTTCTCAGGCGCAGTGGTTTTTGGCTCCTTTGGTCGTGGTCATAGGTTTCTTCGTCTGCGGCCGTTCTCCCTTTTCCTGGCGAATGATGTGCCTGCTGCTTTCCGGAGGGGTCCTAGAGTTGTTGTCTCGACTTCGTGTTGAGGAGTGGTTCACCGACCACTTCCCGGGTATGTCCCCTTGTTTTCTTAGGTAGTCTTTGGTGAAGTAGCTCCGGGGAGCCGTAGGAGCTCCCCCCAGAAAACCAGCGTTGAATGTAATGAAACGCCATTTTCTGGGTGAGTCCCGGAGGCTCCCCGGCACCCTCCCGCCCTCCAGTCGGCGTTTTTGATATCCAGCCTCAGAACTGGAGCGGGGATCTGGGGGTCCCCCTTTTCCCCGTCCCGGGGTGGGGGGAGATGCGCAGACATGTGGCGCGTCTCGTGTGAGGTCATGCTTGTTAGTTCGTTTTCCTGGGGGAGTTCTGTCCACTCGTTTGTCGATTTTTGTTGTTAACCAGAATAGGGGTTTGTTTTGTGGCGCTTACCTTTCTGGGTGCCTGCCCCGGTCGATGGCAGATATAGAATGCTCCAAATCACATGTGCATTTCTATGGGCCATTCCTCCCCGTGCCTCTCTGAGGGGGCCAGGTTCTGGCTCGTGGTCCCCGGTCGGCCTAGAGCTCCACCCACATCGACTGATGCAAAATAGCTAGGGTATCCATATCAGCCATGGATAGCTCTGGGGAGCCTCTGAGAATCACCCAGAAAATGGCGTTTCATTACATTCAACGCTGTTTTTTTTTTTCAATATTTTGACTATTACACTTGTCAATGATACAGGTCTATAATTAAGGGTGTGTGTGTGTGTGTGTAATTACCTAAGTGTAATTACCTAAGTGTAGTTACAGGATGAGAGCTATGCTCATGGTGTCCCGTCTTCCCAGCATTCTTTGTGTTGGTGTGAGTGGGGGGGGTTGATTGGTTATTGTGGGGAAGGACTTCCCAGCCCCAACACACCCTAAATTGGGGTATAATGAGCATGACCAATTTCACCATATGTATCATTATTACCATTATAAGACTAAATTACTTGTTTAATATATGTTGAGTTGCATCAGAAATTATCATGATTATAATGTTGCAGTTTAGATAAATCATTTTTTAATATAAAAAAGAGAATATGTAAATTAACCAAAGATATCTGAACCAGTTAATTTAGAAGTCACTGCTGAGAGACCACCCGAGCAACCAACCCAGCTGCGGCTTAGACCTCCGTTGCGCAGACAGGATGCAATCGACATCGTTAGCGAGGACTCCTTAGATGTGGATGCTGAACATGGTGTAAGTGGGGATGCAACACCTGGTGATGCTGTTGTAACACTTGATGTTTTAAGTGGTAATGGCATCATAAGTAGTGATGATGCAGTTAGTGTGTATTTAATAAGTGCAGATAGTGTCATCAGTGGTGATGCTTTTGTAAATGGTGATATTGTAGTAAATCATGCTGCCGGCAGCAATGGTGCTACCGCTGCTTCTGCTGTGCTCAGCAGCAGTGCTGCCACAAACAAAGATGTTGCTGGCACCAATAATGCTGCTATAAACTGTGATGTTGCCATCGTACGCAATGCTGCTGTAGCGAGTAATGACAACATTGATGTTGCTGCTGTAAATAGTGATGTTGCTATGAGTTATGATGCTTCCGTAAGTGATGTTGCCAGAGACACTGAAACTTCTGGATGTGGTGATACTCTGACATTTAGTGGTTCTCTTGTGCTTGGCGAAGCAGCCTTAAGTATTGATGATGCCTTAAGTGGTATTGCAATGATTGATGATGATACTGTAAGTTATGATGGTGCCACAAATAGTAATGTTTCTCTAAATGTTAATACAGCCATAAATAGTGACAGTTCTGGGTGTCCTGATCCTAATGTGAGAAGTGATCCTGTGTGACAATCATTTAAGATAACGCTTTACAAAATGCATTAGGAGAGTGGATGTCTGAATGCATATACATACTAGAGGCATTTAACATTTCTAACTAATCCAGTTCTAGTTATATGAATTGGACAACATGACATCTTAATTTTAGCAGGAATATCCAGTCATTTATTCTAAACTTGCCTATGCGATAAGAGCATGGCAGTGAGTTGATATAACATGTATGTCATTACATTGAGACGAGGTAAGTAGACGATGACCTGCGTGTAGTTGACATGAGGGTTCTGCCCACACCTCTGTGATTACTGGATGCTTATATGAGAGAGAAGAACTTAAAATAATAAGCATAAGTAAAATCACATGGTGCGGTCTTTTCCTCTTCTTCCATTAAACAAAGGTTTTGAAAATGACATTAATCTACAGCAAAAATGCTTCTGAAACAAATTAAGTCAATTTTGATTGACTTAATAGGTACCTAATTCTGGGCCACTGAGATCGGTAATGATTAAAATTGAACATTGATAAGCTTTAGTTTTTCATCCAAGATGAGTCTTAAAGCTGTTTTGCTGCATAATGGAAGTGTTTTGCCACCAATTCCATTGGGTTATGCATCCCATATAAAGGAAATTTATGACAACATGAAGTGGCTCTTGAGGTGCATAAACAATGACACACAGGCAGGAGTGGCAGCTCTATTGCAACTTGAAGGTTGTTGCTCTTGTGATGGGTCTGTAGGGTGGATACACAAAGTACTGCTGTTTTCTTTGTGAGTGAAATAGTGGTGCAAGAGTTTCCCACTATATCATGAGAGACTGACCACTCCGTCTGTCACTGGAGCCTGGGAGAAAAATATTCAGCATCCACCACTTGCTGAATCAAGTAAGATTTGGTTATAACCCTTAAACATGAAAATAGTTAATCAGCAAATTTAATTATTCTATTTTAATTCAGTACATCAAAATGCATAATAAACAGCTCTTTTTGTCTTGGAAGCAGGCAACTTTTTAAAAATTGTTGACCAGTGTTACAGAACAATAATTAACCTGAGAGATTTACTGTAATTTTAACTTATTAAGGCATGTGATTTTCAGATTTATGTTTACCTAAAACTTTTCAAAGTATGTGTGCTTGTACTTGGCAAGTGTATCCATGTGAAGCATGTGCTTGGCATGCACGCCTGGTACCACTTAGTACGGGGCAGAACCTAAGTCTTTGTGATCATATCAGATTGCATAGTAACACCACTTTGTACATAAATGTCTCTATATACACAATTACTGTTTATTTCATTACTTCATAATATTGAGGCATTGTTTATTGTCTAATTGAGGGACTGTTTATTTAATTAAACATTTCACACTACAGTATGTATATGTCATCACCCCATGCTAATTTCATTGTAATGCTATCACCATGGTTCCACATTATTTATGAAAGGAATAATAATACATGTCTGACTTACCCAGTGTGGCAGCTGATTACCATGAAGATATCTACATCTTTGCATTATGTACACTTTCAGGTGCTGTATTTAAAGCAGAGTTGTGTGTGGAGTCTTTCACAGGCACTTTCTTGTTACCATTCACTTTGTACGGAAAGACTTCGAGACATTACTACATGTACTTGTTGAACAAGTTTGTGTTTTTTATTGCCATATATGTGGTAGGCATTCTTACATAAACAAAAATTTATACAAATAATGCATTATGAAAGTAATGAAGAGTATTTAATTCAATACACCCCACAAAAATGTCAGTTATATTTTCAAATGAGTTCAAATAATATTCTAATGTTTGGAAAATGCATTTGTTGGCAGTTCAGGAGATATTTAATATGCCATATAATTTATATACTGTTCACATAATTAGTAATTTAATTGCAGTGTTTATGTCTATTGAAAATGCTGCTTGCATTGAAGTTGTTAGGAAATGTGATGCTTTTCTTGGGAAGTCCTCCATCTCTGAGAGATTGCTCTGTGCTTATGGGTCACATCACTTACAGCAGTGCCGTTTGGCCTACCGGCAAACAAGACTAGAACCTGGCGCCCCTCACAGAGGCTCAAAAAGTGAGTGACGATTCACCACCCCATCTGGAAAGTATCCAGAAAGTCAGTGAAGCCTTGAAGGCAACTGGAGGCTCCACAGAAAACAAAGCCTTGAAACAGCCAAATAACTGCAAAAATTGACACAGAACAAGGGATTTATTCAAACTAGCATGAAACTTGGTAGTACTGATTGCCACCACTAGGCAGCCTGGTCCATACCCTGAACTGATTTTTCTAATTAGTTCTGTTGTTGATGTTATGGTGTTGCCTGCTACATATAGTGCTCCAGTCTGCCAGTCATGGGCAAGTTTTTCTTGATAAGTTATCTTGAGGTTATCTTGAGATGATTTCGGGGCTTTAGTGTCCCTGCGGCCCGGTCCTCGACCAGGCCTCCACCCCCAGGAAGCAGCCCGTGACAGCTGACTAACACCCAGGTACCTATTTTACTGCTAGGTAACAGGGGCATAGGGTGAAAGAAACTCTGCCCATTGTTTCTCTCCGGCGCCTGGGATCGAACCCAGGACCACAGGATCACAAGTCCAGCGTGCTGTCCGCTCGGCCGGCCGGCTCCCCTAGAGATCTAAGATGCCACTAGAGATCTAAGTGGCAGCCATCCTTGAACTTTATTTTGCAGGAGCTATTTGATTTGTTGTTTTCCTTTATTTATGTTGGCTTCACAGGCATGGTTTTTCTCCAGCTTGTTGTGTACCCGGATGGAGTTCTGGAAATTCTTGTACTCCCCAAGCCCGGCCCAGTGCCAGGCTTGACTTGTGAGAGCTAGACTTAACAGGCTGTTGATTGGAGTGGCCTGCAATCCCACATATCCACCACAACCTGGTTGGTCTGGTACTTCTTGAAGAAAACTATCCAGTTTTCTTTTCAAGACGTCCGCATTTGTTCCAGCAATATTTCTTATGCTCGCTGGGAGAATGTTGAACAACCGTGGACCTCTGATGTTTAAACAGTGTTCTCTGATTGTGCCTATGGCTCCCCTGCTCTTCACTGGTTCTATTCTGCATTTCCTTCCCATATCATTCACTCCAGTATGTTGTTATTTTACTGTGTAGATTTGGGATCTGGCCCTCCAGTATTTTCCAGGTGAATATTATTTGATACCTCTCTCATCACCTTTCTAAAGAGTACATTTGGAGGAGAACTTTGAGACGATCCCAGTAGTAGCCCAATATATCCTAAGAGGTCAATGATACCAATAGATCCACAATCCCAATTTGTGGGCTTGACTTTTGCTGCACTTCTGGCTGCATATGCTTAGTTTTCTTCCCTGGGTGCCTGCTAGTGCTACCCTTGCACAGAGTTACCTTCTCTGGTGTGTTCACAAGTTCACCATTGAGAGGCTTGACGATGATGATTCTCTCTGCCTTTGCCATTCTGCCTGCTGGGTCAGTGATGCCAACAACCTGTGAGTTCTGTGAAGTGTGTTCACACTGGGTCTCTGCTCTTAATGATTCAGCTTCAGGTTTGGAAGCTGCCATTTTGCAAGCTAGGTTAAGCATATGCAACATTTTGTTCATCTGGATGCCCCATAGGACATCCTATGGTGTTTAGGGACCCAGAATAGGTGGTGTTGGTGATCCCCCATCTGGACTAAGTCTGTGCTTTTTCTTCATTCTCTGTGGATGTGTTTTTCCTGGCTTCTGGTCTTTTCCCTCTGCTTCCAGCTCCAAAGTATCAAATGGTTTCGAAAATAGGTCAAGGTTTAGCTTGGGATGTAGCATTGCCTTCTCCATGGGTGGTCCTGTCGGAACCTTATGGTCCCAGCAGGGTTTCAGGCATTAGGCTTCACATTCGGTGCCTCGGAATCATCATATTTTTGGAGATTTCTGTCTTCCTCTATTTAGCTTTCAGTGGTTTATACAGACATGTTTCAGTACCTCCTGCAGAACATGGACCTCTTTTTGTTGATGGACTTGGCCTCTTTCCAGCATGGGTCTGTTTTGACTTAATGGATGCAGTGTATTCACCTAGTTCTATTCACCTAGTTGTGCTTGCGGGGGATGAGCTCTGCTCTTTCGACCCGCCTCTCAACTATCAATCAACGACCCATTTTTTTTTTTTACACACACACACACACACACACACACACCAAAGATGCGAGAAACAACTATACAGCAGTAAGGAGAGAGGCAGAAAGAAATTTTGAAAAAGGGATAGCAGATAAATGTAAAACAGAACCGGGCCTATTCTACAAATTCATAAACAACAAATTGCAGGTAAAGGATAATATCCAGAGGTTGAAAATGGGAAACAGATTCACGGAAAATGAAAAGGAAATGTGTGAAACATTAAATGAAAAGTTCCAAAGTGTGTTTGTACAAAATGAAATCTTCAGAGAACCAGACACAATAAGAATTCCAGAGAACAACATAGAGCGGATAGAGGTGTCTAGAGATGAAGTGGAAAATATGCTAAAGGAGCTCGGGAAGAACAAAGCAGCTGGCCCAGATGGCGTTTCACCATGGGTTCTGAGAGAATGTGCATCTGAGCTCAGCATTCCACTTCACCTGATCTTTCAGGCATCCCTGTGTACAGGAATCGTAGCAGACGTGTGGAAACAGGCTAACATAGTTCCAATCTACAAAAGTGGCAGCAGGGAAGACCCCCTCAATTATAGACCTGTATCATTGACGAGTGTAATAGTGAAAGTATTGGAAAAACTAATCAAAACTAAATGGGTAGAACACCTGGAGAGAAATGATATAATATCAGACAGACAGTATGGTTTTCGATCTGGAAGATCCTGTGTATCGAATTTACTCAGTTTCTATGATCGAGCCACAGAGATATTACAGGAAAGAGATGGTTGGGTTGACTGCATCTATCTGGACCTAAAAAAGGCTTTCGACAGAGTTCCACATAAGAGGTTGTTCTGGAAACTGGAAAATATTGGAGGGGTGACAGGTAAGCTTCTATCATGGATGAAAAATTTTCTGACTGATAGAAAAATGAGGGCAGTAATCAGAGGCAATGTATCGGAATGGAGAAATGTCACAAGTGGAGTACCACAGGGTTCAGTTCTTGCACCAGTGATGTTTATTGTGTACATAAATGATCTAACAGTTGGTATACAGAATTATATGAACATGTTTGCTGATGATGCTAAGATAATAGGAAGGATAAGAGATTTAGATGATTGTCATGCCCTTCAAGAAGACCTGGACAAAATAAGTATATGGAGCACCACCTGGCAAATGGAATTTAATGTTAATAAATGTCATGTTATGGAATGTGGAATAGGAGAACATAGACCCCATACAACCTATATATTATGTGAGAAATCTTTAAAGAATTCTGATAAAGAAAGAGATCTAGGGGTGGTTCTAGATAGAAAACTATCACCTGAGGACCACATAAAGAATATTGTGCAAGGAGCCTATGCGATGCTTTCTAACTTCAGAATTGCATTTAAATACATGGATGGCGATATACTTAAGAAATTGTTCATGACTTTTGTTAGGTCAAAGCTAGAATATGCAGTTGTTGTGTGGTGCCCATATCTTAAGAAGCACATCAACAAACTGGAAAAGGTGCAAAGACATGCTACGAAGTGGCTCCCAGAACTGAAGGGCAAGAGCTACGAGGAGAGGTTAGAAGCATTAAACATGCCAAAACTAGAAGACAGAAGAAAAAGAGGTGATATGATCACTACATACAAAATAGTAACAGGAATTTATAAAATCGACAGGGAAGATTTCCTGAGACCTGGCACTTCAAGAACAAGAGGTCATAGATTTAAACTAGCTAAACACAGATGCCGAAGAAATATAAGAAAATTCACCTTCGCAAATAGAGTGGTAGACGGTTGGAACAAGTTAAGTGAGAAGGTGGTGGAGGCCAAGACCGTCAGTAGCTTCAAAGCGTTGTATGACAAAGAGTGCTGGGAAGATGGGACACCACGAGCGTAGCTCTCATCCTGTAACTACACTTAGGTAATTACACACACACACCCACACCCACCCACCCACCCCCACCCACCCACCCACCCACACCCACCCACCCACCCCCACCCACCCACCCACCCACCCACCCACACCCACCCACCCCTACCTACACCTACACCTACCTACCCCTACACCTACCTACCTACCTACCTTCGCAAATAGAGTGGTAGATGGTTGGAACAAGTTAAGTGAGAAGGTGGTGGAGGCCAAGACCGTCAGTAGTTTCAAAGCGTTATATGACAAAGAGTGCTGGGAAGACGGGACACCACGAGCGTAGCTCTCATCCTGTAACTACACTTAGGTAATTACACACACACACATACATACATACATATATATATATATATATATATATATATATATATATATATATATATATATATATATATATATATATATATATATATACACACATATATATATGCATACATGTGTGTGTATAGGAAGGGGCACACGCACTAGGGGACACAGGTGGAAACTGAGTGCCCAAATGAGCCACAGAGATATTAGAAAGAACTTTTTTAGTGTCAGAGTGGTTGACAAATGGAATGCATTAGGAAGCAATGTGGTGGAGGCTGACTCCATACACAGTTTCAAGTGTAGATATGACAGAGCGCAGTAGGCTCAGGAACCTGTACACCTGTTGATTGACGGTTGAGAGGCGGGACCAAAGAGCCAGAGCTCAACCCCCGCAAGCACAACTAGGTGAGTACA